ATTATGGCTATAGGCAATAACAGTTCAAAATATGTCAGCTGCATTCTTACTATCATTATTACTTTTTTATTATTACATTTGTTACTATCACCTTTGTAGCCCATTTTCAAGGTTCACAAGAGTTATAACTTTGTATGCAATTGTCTGTGTATTGGACTTCCTCTCTTGTGATCAGCCTTGAGTACAAAGACTCTGATTTGTAGATCATCTGCACTTGGCACATCAAAAAGCATGTTGTTGGATGAAGAAATGAACAATTTCTGTTCTGTCTCGTGAACTTTAGAAATCCATAGTCATTTTGGGGGAATGGACATTTCTCCTCAGGAATAAAGAACATTGTATGGACCTCAAGAGCTAAAACTGTCATGATATGTCCATGCTCTCTCATTACCGACACCTGGTGCTGTGCTCTCAGATTTTCAGGAACCCCCCTTGACTCTATTCTGTAGACTCCCATGCTCCCCTTATTCCTCACCTTCACTCCTTTCCTGGGCACTTGGCAATACTCGCTTTCAACCATTCCCTTTGCTTTCCTGTAGAGTTCATGACCTCCAGGAACAGAAAAAGTGCCTGCTGAAATATTTTCCATTAGGGCCTTGGAAAGCTCCTGAAGTTTAGCCTGGCAGTATTTGACAGATGCCTGTTCATTCTGCAGCAAGAAACCCTCCTTCTTATCCTTTATGATTTCCTGCGAGGGAAATGTAGAGAGATGTCACCAGAAGCAAGGAACAGAGGAGATACGTTTCCAAGGAATCTGGTAGAAGGACTGGTGTGACTGTGGTCCTCAGGAGAAAAGCATTCTGTTGGAGTACAGGGAATAAAACAGCAATCACAAGATCTGATCTACTCACAATCTTGAAAACTCTCTGTAAGACCACAGGAAAGATTCTAAGCCTCCCTTCAGGCTCTTCATCTGAAATGTTGGAGGCACATTATCTAATCTCTGTGGTTCCTTGCAGCTGCAACATTCAGTGATTCTATATTCAATGATACAAGGAGCAACCTAAGTTGAAAATGGCCTGGAATGAAGGGCTGATAAGAGAAATTTTGGGTGCTGGTCATGGGAATGTGTTCACAGGAAAAGAAACCAGCTTCAGAATGACTTTTGGATGCTCTGGACAGCCTTGGAATCCACAGAAGTATTTACTTTATGAAGATATCTATACTGATTTTACATCAGAGTTGAGAGACATTTCCAGATAAACTGCCTGAGGCTTGGCAGAAAAAAGAAGGAAATGTAGTCCTTTGAAGCCCTATATCCCTGATGGGAACACAGACTACTTTATCCTTGAGAGAGGGATGAGCCATGGGTTCAATAAAGGCTCTGCTAGGCTTTTGACAGATGCCTCTTCATTCTGTCATATTCTCCCCTTCTTCAAGAGAAGGGGACAAATAGTAAATACTAAGAGAAATTACCACAAGATTCTTCTGGAATTCCTGATTTTCATCCTTGAAGGAGCACTCCATGAAGATTGCAATGGCTTCCCTCTCACAGGCTGCGTGCACCTCCAGAAGCTCCTGGAGCGTGTCCGTGGGGAGCCTCAGTTGCTGGGCCATCTGCTCACTGTAGTGGTCGGCTGCCTTCTGCACGGCCGCTGAGTTCTCCAGCTGGGCCAGAGTTGTCACTGCGTTCTCCAAACAAGGTACAGCTCCAGTATTGATGGTATCCACATAGGTCACAACCAGAGTCCTCAGACCTGAATAAGCCAGGACATTTAAGGGATAAATATTAAGTTATCAGTCAATAGGCACCAGGATTCTGAGGCTATATTTCTAAGGTCTCACACACACACACACACACACACACACACACACACACACACACACCACTTCCCCCTTCTACTATCCCTACCTTCATTTCCCTACTGACTCTTCATTTTTATGGTTTTCCAGCCCACAGGGCTGAAAAAATTAAAAATTTACCTGTATGTAAAATACTAGGGGATACCTGAAATATTGAAAGCAAGATAGATTACAGAGGTATTAGATGAGACAGGGTATATCAGATTATATCAGATTATATTTATTCCCAATTCTGGGGCTTTGAATGGATTTTTCAGTGATTTATGAGCTAATATTTATTTTTGGACCACTGTAAACTCCCAAAATATATTTTGTATTCTCCTTGTGAAGAACACTTACTATACAAGACTTCCCCTGAGAAAATGGAATTTTGTTTTTATACCCAGATAGTGAATTTTTTTCTTAGTGTAGGAATTTTTCAGATCAGTGGAAGCCACAGATTTCAGTGACAAAACTTGCAATTTCGGGGAGAGATTTTTAAATCTCCGAAAGTAAGATAAGTATAAAATATACACATTTCTTCATGGAGTATGAATGTCTGTAAAACCTAAATTCTATACGGAATCACACAAAACTACTGAAAAACACATATATAAAATATTCAGTGGTCCCACGGAAATGGGAAAAAGAGTCTCACGGTTCCCAGTGACTGTGATTCCCTCTCTGAGGGTCTTGGTTTTTGCATTGGTGAAGATGTAAGAACAGAAATTGTTTGTTTGTTCCAGGAATTTAGGATCCAGTTGGTCTTCAGACACATTCTCAATATCAGCTAGAAGTTCTTTGTCATTTGTTGGCCGGTCAAAGACAAAACATTTCCGTGTTGGAAAGAAATGCCTGATACACTCTCTGGGTAGATTTGATGTTTGGGCTTTGGGATTCTTGCCTGAGGGACAGAAAAACAGAGATTAGACTGGGAAGAGTCTTGGGACAAGGGAGCTAATGGTTTTTATGACAGGGATTTGTGTATCTTTGCTGTCTTCTATGTTTATAACTCCTTTAACATAGACATTCAGTACTTCTATGCATATCAAACTTATACCAATGATGTAATTCTGGAGAGGAATTTGGGGAGACTTCTGATCCAGTAAAAGAAACCTATGGCTGGTATCCCCAGACCTGCACATGGTAGAGTAGTTGTCTATTAGATGTTTACTGAACTAATGGCTAAAAGAATGAAAGGTCAAGTGTAACTTTTTGCTCTACTTAATCTCATGTAGGAATTGAGCTGTGGGACTAAAAAGAAGAGCCACAAAAAAGGGATACTGAACAATATCAGGAATATTAGGAATGACACCAGATTATTTAGGTGAAATGATTTTGATGCTAAAAAATAATTGGTACAGAGTTAGCTAATTTTTAGTAAAAAACACTGAAGGGTAAATGTACCTAAAATGTAATTTTAAGATGTCACCACTAATCAATAACCTCTTTGACATAAAGGATTATGTTTGATCTGACAGTTGTCTTCTCCCCCCTAGCCAATTTCTCAATAAATATTTAAAGAAAGCATAAATAGAAAAATGAAAACAAAAAGGAATAAATCAGAATTGTTATATCTTTCAAGATTTCGTCAGATATACCCACGGTAAATGTAACCCATTAAAATAATTTATTAATTTGTAATTAAAGCATGGGTAAATATATGGGAATTAGGAGAAAGCTGTGATATGGAATGTAAAATGAATGTTCTAAAAATTATTGCAAATATTGAAAAGGCATAGATTGAAAAGACACACACTTCTTCAGGATTACTTAGAACATGAAGTCATTTTGTAGATGATATACTATACAGGATTAGAAAGTTCCCTCTTTGAGAAAAATAATACCTAGCTATGTGAAATGCACTTTTTTTTTCATTAGATTGACTTTTCATTTTAATTTCATGTCTAACAAGTATCTTGTCAGTTTTTTTCCTCAACAAAAAAAGCAGAAGCCAAAATAGGGAACTCAAGTGTCTGGTCTTTAGAAGAATTAGCACCCATTGTAATCTGGATGCTAAGTTAAAAATGGTATGAAAAACAAATTGGTTTTGAATAATTTCACTTTACCTTACACTTTACTTTTCTTAAGAGAACTTAGACTCTAGTCCCTAGAGCTTTGCAATCCGCTTTCCAGCCACAGTTTCTACAGACTTTGATCGAGTCTCAAATACAAATGCAGCCCCAGAGATGGTGGACGGTGTGTAGTAGATCCCACCCTCTATTGGACCATCCACTGTCCAGACCATGCTCTGATACCTGGAATCAGCTTCAAGGCATTCTCCAGGTACTCATCTTCTGTGATAGGGTGACCGTTTAACATCAGTTCCAGGGTGAAATCCCGTACAGTCCAGATAAAGTCTGGAAAGAAACTCACAAACTCTGTGGAATCTTCTAGTACACCAGATCTTGAAGAGGACTTGGCCCTGATGAGTTCTGTGAGCTCTGTCACATAACTAGGAACTTGGTCAAGGAAAAGAAAACCCCTACACACAATTCCCACATTTCCCTAATTAAAAAGTATTATAATCACTCTCTTTTGCCGTGAGTCCCCTCCACTCCACTAAAGGCAGCTAAATAACAGGGAAGGAGAAACTGACTCTATCTCCATTCCCAAAAACTCAATGAAACTTGGTGGTTCAGTTCCTGGAAGGATACTGCAGTTGTTCCAAGGCCTGGTGGTTGATGGTGTTCATGCTGTTGTAGACAAAGCTGCTACATAGAAGCACAGTCAGGGCAAAGATCCACGAGTCATTCTTAGGGTCACCCTAGAAAGCACATTTGAACACAAGACTTAGGAGTTTACTCCTAAATTAGAAATTCATTCATACACTTATTCTATCATATTTTCATTTATTATTTCAGCTGACATACTCACCATGCAAAGAAATTGTTTGAAGAGAAACATAAATACAGATAACAGCTTTGACAATTACAAAGACATTTTTATGTTTCCAATTTTTTCATATATAAAATCCTTCTTATCTTCATAGTGCTTTTTTCCCCTCAATTGGATGAAGTAAAATAACATATACATAAAATCGAGTACAGTACTTGGTGTGTAATTATGTATTCAATGATGACTGTTAGCACTTATTTATTCTACAAATATTTATTAATCATAGCCCATATAAAATATACCACAGTTGGCATAACTGGGTATTTAAATTATATCCAGTCAGTAAATATCTGCAAGTAGTTACTGAATGCTCCCTACTGTTTCTTAGATTTCAAAAAGCCATGTTAAAAATGACAATTATTCCTTTCAAGATGCCTATTTAAAAGCAGTGACAAACATCCATAACAATAAATGTAACAAAGATGACAATACCTATAAAAAGCTTACATCTTAGTAGTGTATATAAGCAGTTGAACTTATAGCTATAATATTAAATTAAAATTTGTCAAGGAAGAATAGAGCTATGAAAGCTGGAGAAAGAATCTATGATATGAAAGCCTCCTCAAAGTTTTGAACTGAGTATTAAAGGATTGGTTGAATGTGGAATTGAAGAAATGAAGGTGGTCCCATAGATAGAAACACTCACAGAAGCAAAATTAGACATGGGAGAATACAAGGGTCTTGTAATGAAAATAGAGTCATTTCATTTGACTGGAGCAGAGGTTGAGTGGAGAAGTACATTTGAGCTCTAGTGCAGCCTGATGAAGGACCTTAAAGGCCAGGCTAATTTGTTTGTATAAATCATAGCACTGTCTAAGTAATAGCATAAATCCAGAGATCATTTCTACTATAACGGTTGTGAAGCTATTCCCTAGAACAAATGCAAAAACTGTGATTCATGTCAAGAACAGTCTATATTGGAGTTTGGGGGGGAAATAATCTATTCATCACTTTATTTCCCCAAAATGCAATTTTTAAAAATAATCAATTAGGATAAGAAGAAGTGGTATTTATGACAAACAATAAATTATTTCAACAACAAGACTATATCATTGCTTGATATATGATTTTAAATAAATACAGAATTTCTAATTCTCCTTTGGGAAGAAATAGAAAGCTATAGAAATTTAGATACTATTTCCAAATAAGTCTCAAAGTAAGTGGAAAGAAAATAATTTATTTCATCCATTAGTAGAAAGCTAAAATACCAAAAATCCATCTTAAAATGTTTCTTGTAGGACAAACACATGCCTTTATAGAAACAGCACATTCAGAGGTATCTTACAGCATTCTACAATGCTCTGTGAGTAGTTGATGAACTTCATCATAGAAAATATAAACCCATCTCTTAACTCTAACCCTCAAATACATTCTTCATCTGGTAGCTAAGAAGGTGAATCAGAAAACTTTCCTCACTCCCAGGTTGATGTTTCTCCACTTTCTTTCCAAGGCATCCTTACACTTAACTGTCAATTATGGAAACTGTGAGGTGCTGCCTGGATCACGTTTCAAGACTGAAGGACTTAGTCCCCCAGCTGTTGGGAGTGCTGGTGAAAGACAGTCTTCAGGTGTCAGGCCTCTTAATTAGAAAGGCTTCCAGAGCAGGCTTCCAATAATTTATCAGCACCCTTGTCCCAGCTCAGGATAACTCAAAAGGACCTTTCAATCTAGAGCTCACATGGAATTGACAGAAGTTGGAGATTGCAACGCAGCACTTCTTCCTCTCTCCAACCTGCTTCTTTACCAATCATACTTTATTAAACCCGACTGCATATGTGCGGCCTTGTCAACTGGACTAAAGCCTCTTTGAGGACAGGACCTTTATTTTGGTCAGTGATATCTACAGTACTAAGTCCAAAGGTCTAGAATTCAGTTGTTCAACAATTATTTATTAAATGTAATCAAGTCATCCACACAGTGCCAAGAAATAAAAGATTTTATCTAACATACCATGATACCTTACCTAGAAGTGAGATTCAAACAAACCATAGTCTGCCTCCTTTACTATAGGTGATTTCTAGACTTTACAAATAGACAACAGCAGTTAAACGTCTATGATCATCAAGCAATAAGGAGAAAATCCAGAATAAAAAGGATTTATCTGTGATTTTCTGCCTTACCTTTTCCACATCGCCCAGGCCCTCTGTGTCCAGAAGGACCAGGGTATGGTCTGACTTGGAAGGGTGAGGCACACACCACATCCAGATGCCCTTTGTTTTAGACTGCACTGTAGAGCCCAGAGGGAAACCTGCAAGGGGAGGGGAGAAAGCAACATTCAGTTACAGCAGATAATCTAAGCAGCCCAGGGGCTACAAAGTCAGACTTACTGGAGTTTAAGTACCCCAGCATACAACATGGTGCTTTCTCTATTTCCTCAAGAACGTCCTACTTTGTCTGTCACCTATTTCAAGGAGGAGGGGATATTAATTGTGAGAATGACGCCAAGCAAGGGATCAACAAGGAGACAAAGAGTTATCCATGAATCAGACAAAACAGAGGTCTCAGGTAACCATAAGAAGAGTATTTTGAAGGAATGATGAGGTTCAGAGACAGAGAGAAGTGGATTGCAGTAAAATATGGGCAGGTAAAAAAGTGGAAAAAAGAAATTGAGATTATACTTTTTGCCAGACAAAATAATTTTTGAAAAGGGTAAGAGGTATTAGCCACAATAGGATATGAAGTCCAGGAAGGGTTTTTAAGATAATACATAATGAAACATCTTTATATGTTGATGAGAATATCCCATAGAAAAGCAAAATGTGTTTTGAGAGAGAGAGAAGACACAATTGCAAGAGCCCAGTACTTAAGCAGGTAGAAGAAGGTAGGATTTTTTGCATACATAGGAGAAATATTGCTTTATAGGAATAAAACAAAAAATATGATAACAGATCACAATAAGGTAGTGATTTAGTGGTGAGAATTAGAAGTGAAACGGTGGCTTATTGAGAGGAATTTGGTTCTCCCTTCACATGACCAGGGAAGAAAATTAAGAGGCTGAGATATCAGCTAGAGTCAAACAAATGGATCCTGACCAAGTATAACACTCACCACTGTTCTGTCCTTTAAGACGGTTCATCAAGTAGGATTTGCCTGTACGATACAGTCCTACAATGGCCACCACCACCAATGGCTGTGAAATCTTCTCAAGAATCTGTAGAGCTTCCTGGTTCACTGACAGCAGGTCATTGTCATTTTCCACCAGACAAATGGGGTCCATCATGTTGGGTCCAGATGCCATGGCAACCTGCTAACCTAGAAGTGATTCCTAGTAGAAATAAGATTATAAAGTCATTCCCTAACTCAGAGTCATACAAGCACTTGTCAACGTTGGACTTGGTAAGAATTCTGTACTTTCCATGAGACGAAAGCTAACTTAGAATTAGCAGACTACAGAGGCTTCCCTCCATCATTCCCTCAAATCTCTGATGAGGTTTGTAGTGAAACACAGGCTATTATCACTCTCTATAGTTTTACCTCAATAATAATAATAAAATTCAAGTTATTGTTACTACACACTGAAGGCCTAGAATATACCAAGCCCTATGATACATAAAGTACATACCCACCTAAACGCATACTTAAAAGAACCAACCATGCTATTAGAGACATGGAACATTCAGCTTCATCCCCCAACCTCTGGGGATCAGAGAACAGCTGAAAGTTGTGTAATCATCAATGACTAATTGTTTAATCAACCATCCCTATTTAATGAAGACTTCATTTAAAAAACTGAAAAACCCTAATTAAAAGGGTTCAGAGGGATTCTGACTTGATGACCATGGAGGTGGTCAAAGGATGGCATGTCTAGAGGGGACATGGAAGCTCCACAACCCTTTCTTACCTTTCTCTATGCATTTCTTCTATCTTGCTGTTCCTGGGTTGTATCCTTTTTTAATAAACCAGTAATCTAGTAAGTAAACTGTTTTTCCTGATTTCTGTAAACCATCCTAGCAAATTATTGAAACTGAAGAGGAGATGGTGGGAACCTCCAATGTATAGCCAGTTAGAAGTCCAGGTGACAACCTAGACTTGCAATTGGCATTTGAACTGGGGGGCAGTCTTGTGGGACTGAGCCCTTAACCTGTGGGGTATGGACTAACTCTTGGAAATTAGTGTCAGAAATGCTTAGTGTGAAAAAAATGCCCAGATATGTGGTGACCAGAAGTGAAGTATGGAGAATAGAAAGTTGAGAGGAGAAATTGAATTTTTCCTTTTCAGGGTGGAGACAAACAATAGATGATCAAAAGACCCAAGGAGAGAAACTTTGGGAAATTAAGATATTTAAAAGCAGCATATACAGGGGAAAACTGAAAAGGCACACACAGGTTCAGGGAAGATGCATGCTCAGAAAAGCCTAAAAAGACTTTATGGTTTCTCTTTAGCTTAATCCCAAGCCTCAAAACCAAGGGCCAGTTTAGTGAAAGAATTCCTTGGCACAAAGCCAGTATGCAAAGAATGGGAAAGTTAGCTGCTTTTATAAATGCCCAATTTTCAACAAAAGCAACAACAAAACAAAAATCACAAGGCATACAAAGAAATGTATGCCCATTCAAGGCATACAAAGAAAATGTGGCCCTTTCAAAGGAAGAAAATAAAGTAGTATGAAACACCCCTGAAGAAATACATGCACTAAGTGTTCTAGGCAAAGACTTTGAAATAACTTTCTTAAATATGCTCAGAAAGCTAAATGAAAACACAAAGAACTAAAGAATACCAGAAAAACAATATGTGGGGACTTCCCTAATGGCCCAGTGGTGAAGAATTTGCCTTCCAATGTAGGGGACACAGGTTCGATCCCTGGTTGGGGAACTAAGATCTCACATGCTGCAGGGCAACTAAGCCCATGTGCCTCAACTACTGAGCCCGTGCGGCACAACTAAAGAGCCCGCATGCCTCAACTACAGAGCCCACGCGTTCTGGAGCCTGCACACCACAACTAGAGAGCCTGCATGGTGCAACTACTGAGCCCATGTGCTATGGAGCCCGTGCACTACAACTAGAGAGAAGCCTGCATGCCACAACGAAAGATCCCACATGCTGCAACTAAAACCTGAGACAGCCAAACATTAAATAAATAAATAAGCTGTAACTCCATCCCATCCACACATTTCTAAAAAAAAAAGAAAGAAAAGAAAAACAATATGTGAACAAAATTTTAAAATCAACAAAGTGATAAAAATAATAAAAAGGAACCCAGTAGAAATTCTGAAACTGGAAAATACAATAACTGAATTTAGAAATTTTCTAGATGGGATTAGACTTATGCAGTCAAAAGAAAGAATCAGCAAACTTAAAGCTAAGATATCTGAAGTTATAAAGTCTCAGGAGCAGAAGGAAGAAAGAATTTTTTAAAGTAATATAGCCTAAGAGATTTATGGGATATTGTCAAGTAGACAGATACATGCATTACGGAAGTCACTGAAGCATAAGTGGAGAGGCAGGGCAGAGAGATTCTTTGAGGAAATAATCACTAAAAATTCCCAATGTGATGAAAAAACATGAATCTACAAATGCAAGAAGTTCAACAACTCAAATAGGATAAATAATTAGAGACCCATGCTGAAACGTATTATAATAAAACTGTCAAAAGACAAAGAGAGAATCTTGAAATCAACAAGAAAGAAGCAACTCATCACAACCCACCACCCAAAAGAATTCGAAAGAGAAGAACAAACAAAGCCCAAAGTCAGCAGAGGGAAGGAAATAATAAAGATCAGAGAGGAAATAAATAAAATAGAGATCAAAAAACAATAGAACAGATCAACAAAACCAAGAGCTGGCTTTTTGAAAGGATAAACAAAATTGACAAACCTCTAGCCAGGCTCACCAAGAAAAAAAGAGAGGACCGAAATAAACAAAAAAGAAATGAAAGAGGAGAAATAACAACTGCAACCTAAGAAATACAAAATAACATAAATGGATACTATGAATAGTTATATGCCAACAAATTGAACAACCTGGAAGAAACTGACAAACTTCTAGAGACATAGAGACTGCCAAGTCTGAATCAAGAAAAAACAGACAATTTGAACAGACCGATCACTAGAAGTGAAATAGAATCTGTAAAAACAAGCAAACAAACAAAAAATCTACCATAAAACAAAAATCCAGGACTGGATGGCATCACTGGGGAATGCTACCAAACATATAAAGAAGAACTTATAACTATCCTTCTCTAACAATTCCAAAAATTGAAGAGGGAACACTCCCAAATTCATTCTATGAGGCCACCATTTCCCTGATACCAAAACCAGACAAAGGCACCACAAATAAAGAAAATTACAGGCCAATATCTTTGATGAATATATATGCAAAAATCCTCAACAAAATATTAACAAACTGAAATCAACAATACATAAAAAGAATCATACACCATGATCAAGTTGGATTCATTCCAGTGTCACAAGTATGGTTCAATACAGGCAAATCAATGTGTTACACCACATTAACAAAAGGAAAGACAAAAATCACATGATCAATTCACTAGATGCAGAAAAAGCATTTGACAAAATTCAATATCCATTCATGATAAAAACTCTTGTCAAAGTGGGTATAGAGGAAGCATATCTCAACATAATAAAGTCCATTTATGAGAAACCCATAGCCAATATAATACTTAACAGTGAAAACTTGAGAGCCTTCCACTAAATTCAGGAACAAGACAAGGATGCCTACTCTCATCACTTCTCTTCAACATAGTATTGGAAGTCCTAGCCACAGCATTCAGACAAGAAAAAGAAATAAAATGTATCCAAATTGGAAAGGAAGAGGTAAAATTGTTACTATTTGCAGATGACATGATACTCTCTGTATAGAGAACCCTAGAGTCTCCACCCAAAAACTATTAGAACTAATAAATGAATTCAGCAAGGTTTCAGGATACAAGATTAATATACAGAAATCTCTTGCATTTCTATACACTAATAAAGAAATATTAGTATGAGAAAATAAAGATATCTCATTTAAAATCACATCAAAAATAATATAAAATATCTAGGAATAAACTTAACAAAGGAGTTGAAGACTATACTCCGAAAACTATAAAATATTGATGTAGGAAATGAAGATGATTCAAAGAAATGGAAAGACATCCAGTGCTCTTGGATTGGAAGAATTAATGTTATTAAAATGGCCATACTACCAAAGCAATCTACAAATTTAATGCAATCTCTATCAAAGCATTTTTCACAGAACTAGAGCAAACAATCTGAAAATTTATATGGAACCATGAAAGATCCTGAATTGCCAAAGCAATCCTGAGAAAAAAGAGTAGAGTTGAAGGTATAACCCTCTCAGCCATCAGACTACATGATAAAGCTACAGTAATCAAAATGACATGGTACTGGCACCAAAAAACAACATGTAGCTCAATGGAACAGCATAGAGACCCCAGAAATAAGCCCACACTCATATGGTCAATTAATCTGTGACAAAGGAGGAAAGAATATACAATGCAGAAAAGACAGTCTTTTCAACAAGTGGTGCGGCAAAAACTGGAAAGCCACATGTAAAATAATGAAATTAAAACATTCCCTCACACCACATACTTAAATAAATTCAGAATGGTTTAAAGACCTAAATGTAAGACGTGAAACCTTGAAACTCCTAGAAGAGAACATAGGTGGAACATTCTGACATCAATTGTAGCAATATTTACTTAGATCAGTCTCCTAAGGCAAAAGAAATCAAAGCAAAAATAAACAAATAAGACATAATTAAATTTAAAAGCTTTTGCATAGCAAAGGAAACCATCAACAAAACGAAAAGACAACCTACAGAATGGGAGAAAATATTTGCAAATGATGTGACCAACAAGGGGTTAATAACCAAAATATACAAACAACTCATAAAACTCAACCTCAAAAAGCAAACAATTCAATCAAAAAGTGCACAGAAGACTTGAGTAGACGTTTTTCCAAAGAAGATATACAGATGGCTAATAGGGACATGAAGAAATGCCCAACATCACTAATTACTAGAGAACTGCAAATCAAAACCACAATGAGCTATCACCTTACACCAGTCAGAATGGCTATCATCAAAAAGATCACAAATGACAAATATTGGAGAGCATGTGGAGAAAAGGGAACACTCATACACTGTTGGTAGGAGTGTAATTTGATGCAGCCATTAAGGAAAACAGCATAGAGATTCCTTAAGAAACAAAAAATAGAACTACCATATGATCCAGCAATCCCATGCCTGGGTATATATCCAGAAAAAATGAAAACTCTAATTCAAAAAAGATACATACACTCCAATGTT